AAGAAGTAATTTTACTTAAAAATAAAGCAGTTTTCAAAGAAGACATCTTTGAAAACAACAATGGAAATACTGACATTAGACTGCCGATCAGAGAACAACTATTGGTATACTACAGTAGAATAACGGTCAAAGGATAACGAACCATTTAAGTATTAGACTGCCGCCGATTTTTGTTCAGTTTGAATCATATGAATGACCTAATTTATATTTAGAATAGCATCGTTTCTATTAGACTAAGTTCAATTATTTACTTACAACAGTGACACCTATCAAGTCTGCAGTCTCGAGTAAAAGTCGAGAATTTTCAGCATAATTCCTACAGAACAAGTCACTGAAACTATCAGTTCTGTCCTTTCTCACCCTGTACGATACTGTGTTCTGTTAGGAGTTCTGGTATGATAAGTATAAATGATTGTGAGAAGAATTCAGGATTATGTTAATATTTTTGTCAAGAACTAAAATTTGGTAACTAATCAAAGTCTAAACTTCTTTAGTTCCGATTATTTTCTTCAATGAGATCTACAACGGAAGACAACGAAGAAATCTTTTTGAAAGAAGAAAAGATTATCACATCTGTTGTTTCCTTTTTAGACAACTATCAATGATCGAGAACTTTCACCACGTGAAAAATGTGATTGTGAAGTGATTGGTAAATCATTTATGATTATAATTTTATCATTGATATATGTTCTTTTTTTTTGTTTAGAAAGATTAATTCGCTCATATTTTTTAATTGTACGAAAAAACATTCAAGATAGTATACCAAAAGCCATCATGCATTTTCTTGTTAATTTTGTTAAAGATCAATTACAAAGTGAACTCGTTGCATTATTATATAAAACATCAGTTAATGAACATGATGAATTACTGAATGAATCTAGTCATATAGCACAACGACGTAAAGATGCACAAGAAATGCTTGATGTAATTTCAATTATTTTTAGTTTTGATAAAACTGACTTTGTATTTTCTAGGCATTACATAAAGCAAATCAAATAATATGTGAAGTACGAGAAACTCATCTCTGGTGAAAATAACAGAGCGTTGTTGCTATTCAAAAAAGAGACACCTTCCATTAGATATTTATTTTGTTTGCGTATGTGTATGTAGTGTGTCGGTCTTTTCTTTTGTAATCAAATAAAATCTGTATCTTTTTTATATTTAAAACAAACAAATAAACCAGAAAAAGAAGAGATAATAAATAATCTATAATTATCTTAAGACTTGAATATGTGACCAGATAACATAAGAGATGAATATATTGAAGTAGACTATTCCCCTTTTAGGCAAACCTAAGTTCAACAATGATGTTCCTGAATTCTTATAAAAAAAAGAATTAATTTTCATAGTCTAATTTAATATTTCCTATTAAAAATGTCCATTATTTGATTGAATTCTGTACTTTTCGATAAATTGTCATTTGTTAGCACATTTTTATTTGGTTTTATACCATACCAAATCTTATACGTATAAACAAGTAATTAACACATATAAGAAAAAAGAAGAAATAAGAAATATCAGGCCGTAAAATAATGATATTTGTTTTATCATTTGAATACAGTGACTAATTTTCACAGAAATGATCAAACATATATCCAAGGTTGGAAAATCAAACGTAAGATTTTGTAACACTAGATGAAATCAACTGAGAAGAAAAGTGTGAGTGTCGGGATGCAGATAAAGACATGGCTAGAATCCACACCCACAACCGGATTATGTTCTTATCTGACTTAGTTCATGTGCGTTTTCGACACCAATAAGCAAGACGTCAAAAAATGATAACTTTCCGTATTTTACTATTGCTACTTCTTGACGTTTTTGGCTAGGTCGCTCTATAAAAAGTGTTTGGTAATTGTAGTCTGTCAGATTTCTGTATGAAAATCCATAGAATGAACCCAGAGTTACCATTGATAGATGACAAGAAAAAATGTGTTTGTCAGTAAACAATCGGGTAAGAAATGATGAACTGAAATGTGCACTGGGAAGTCTTCAATCATATTCTCTCAATTGAAATCACAAGTGGTACCAGTGAAAGTTTTTTGGGGTCGCAATAAATTTTTGAAACTGACAGTAATAATAATAAGTTTTCTATTTTAAAACTTATCCAGTAGTCACAAAAAGTCCCGTATCCACATGAAAACTACTTAAACCTCAACCGTTTAGGTTTATATTTTTACCATAGATAGAATCCAGTGAATCCTGAGAGTAGACACCAACCTGATCTCGATCCGTTGATGTATAGTGAAGTTATCATCCAACCAGACAAACTTTTTGCAAAAATGCATTTAAACACTCAAACGGAAACCGTGATTGAGCAGTGTGCACGTCCTATAAAAAATCCGCAAAAAAAGCCACTCTCCACTAAAAGCACGCAAAGATGCTCGAAAAAATAACTTTTTCGTGAGAAAAACATCTAAAAAAAAGTATTTTCCTTTAATTTTGTGACGTTCTTTTTAACGATGTCGACCGTTTTTCGTATAGAAAACTTCAGAAAATTGAGAGAAGGCAATGTTTTAGACATTTTTCTCACAAAAAAGTTGTTTTTTTCGAGCATTTTTGGTGTTGTCAGTAGAAAGTGGCTTATTTTTTGCGGTTTTTTTTATAGGACGTGCGCACTGCTCAATCGGGATTCACTAAGTTTTATCTGTGGTAAAAATATAAGCTCAAATGGTTGAAGTTTAAATAGTTTTCATCAGGGTGCAGGATCTTTTGCAACTACTGTATATTCACGACATCAGAGTTTGTAGTTGTACTATAAGATGTCTCACTGGATTTTTGTAATAAATTTTCTGATTTTCTTGTGAAATAGTATGAGAGTTTACTTTTATCAGACATTTAAGTGATATATAAAAGCCGAATTATCAAATCATAAAAAAATCGGATTGAACACAAAACAGTGAAAGTTGATCGAGAGTTTCTCTGGTATCACAAAAAGGAAGCGAAAGAATGGTCTTTGTTTTTCTCCAATCATATACTCCTAGTCGACCTCAAATTTGTTAAAAATAGATGCCAGATGTACATGAAGAAAGTACAGCATCAGAGGAAAATAAAACAAATCTCGTAGTGCATAAACATTCTTCTAACAACTACCGGAATATGAGTTATTATGGGTAGCAATAGCTTTTTACTGCTACTCCTAATTTTCTGTAGGGCAACAATTGCTATCTCTTGCTATTATGGCGCGCCACCTATGATTGAAATCTTACAATCAGCAGCATCTCGATACTTTACGATCTTTTTCTCTCACCGTTGCATGCGCACACACATTCTCTCCATTATTTTTCTTTCGCTCTGCCAGCATTTCAAGTCAAGGAGAGAGAGATGTTGACAAGCATACGCGACAGAACAGCATTGATTAATCAATGGTCTCCTGGCTTTTTTTTGACGTCAAGCTCACTATAAATCAATTCTGTCAAGAGAAAAGTTGTTATATGTCAACATATCGATCCAAGTCATAGTTTTCTTGTCAGATAATCTTTCCACATTAGTGCTCTTCTGAGCGAATTTATGCTACACGCATACTCAGCCAATTATCATACAGCTAATCAACACGTACCATCAAAGCATCTCGCACATTTCGTCTCAAAAACGTTCATGACCAAGACGGAACTTGGAAAACTCAACAGGCATGATATAGAAATGACTCAATTGGAAGGATCTCAGTACTAGTTGGACGTAAGGGATTCCGAAACTCGAGTGAACAGCTCTCTCCCATATATTGCGTCGAAAGATCGATGCTTGATGGATGTTCTTCTTGTGGGCAATAAATTGTCTCGAATATAACTTAAAATGTTACAGACACGTGTATATTTCTAGGATCGTCTCCTTATTCTAGATTCTGAGTTGATGTTGTGATCGATTCTCTGCTTCTCTATGTTTGCCTGTTTTGTTCGACTACTGGTGACTTGCAACAATATTTTGGCGTTGGCAGTTTCAATAAATCAGTTATCATCACATCCATCTAGATGAGGTGTACCGTCTCTATTAAATTGAAGTTATCATTCCTTACAATGCTGCTCATTTTGATCTGGCGAACTAGTCGATTCTACTGTGAAAATCAACACCCCATTCCTACGAATGTTATTCCTGTCAAGATTGAAGTTTCTCCCAATTCAACACTACCTTCTTCTACTTCTCTTCCATGCTTGCCCTCCTCCTTGCCTTCTCCTTCGACACCGAGTTCTCCACTTGCCTTGCCTTCGTCGATCCCAAAATCAGAGATTATTCAAGCTGCCGTAGTCTTATCACTCTCCAAACAGACATCGCACATCGCCGAATTTCATCTACTTTACGAATCATGGCGTTTCATTCAAATATTCTCTCCGCTCTCACAGCAAGTGATTATTGATTTGATTGTATTCTGTGAAATTCCCAGTTGCTATCAATTACCACTGCCATGTGCGCCACTTTCTTACGATCACAAGCTTAATTTGATTCCCGATTGTTTTTATAAAAAACTTGAAGATCAAATTGTCTGGAATTGGAAGGAGTATCTTTACATGACATCGATTACCTTTATGTTGACGCCACACTATCAACGAGCGACGATCAATTATCAGTGGATATTGCGAGTTGATCAAGATGCTCTGCTCAGTCCTGCTCTACTGTTTGGTCTGGCCCAAAAACATCCGATAAAATTGCTCAATATGCAGTTTGGAGGGATTGGGCATGGAACTGAGTTTACACACAATCGATTACGCATGATTGCCAACAAACTTGGCTACAAACATGTTGGAGTACATAATCTTTGCTCGACATGGTTAGTAAGTCCGCAAGATTCAATTCGAATCGCCAATTTGACAATTCATATCGGAAGATATCTGCTTCAAAATGAATTCGGTCGACATATTCCAGGTATTGTCTAGACAGGGAGATACACTTATAGTCTTCAGTTGTGTGTGAAAGTAATCAGCTTTTGTTTAGCTCATAAATTGTTAGTTACAATATCTATAATGCTATAGGAAACCCTCAGAGAAAAACATGAGAATTTCAACAATCGGATAATGTGGTGAGCTAATCTCAAGAGTACTTCGTTTCGAGGGAAATGTCAAAGTCGAAGGTTACATTGAATTTTCTTCCTAGAATGATTTTGTTAAACTTGAAATCTCTTCTCTGAAAGAAGGCTTAGTTTCGAATTATTCACTTCGCACTTGATTCTCTAGGTATTGAGGACCTACCAGCAATCGGCGAATGGCCGAAATGGTGGCGTGGTGTAACATCGTTATATGCCGCCGAAATAGCAATCAACCACATCTACTCATCAACTCTTGGCCATCAACATGAGTCTACTGTATTGGACCATCCAGCTGATTCACAAAGTTCTTTGTGGAATGCTTGGCATATTCATTGTTTACACAATCCAACGTATTTTTCAAAATTCCGACATCGAGATGATCTCTATTATTTTCTTCGCTACTCTCAAGCCAAACGAATTCGAATTATTAAGAATTACTATTCCGTAGAACTGATAGTCAGACAAGTAATCAATGAATTCGAAGATATGTATATCAGAAATGAAACATTTCAAGGAAAGATCACTGTCCGTGACTACGTGACCGTATTGGCCTGGAGAAAAGCTTATGCAGCAACCGGAGCTATCAATTTGTAATGCTTTGAAGAGCATTCTTACTGGCACTGATTACATCCTTAGGATAAAGCAAAAAAATCGATATTGTCCCGTCGGTCATTCTTTCACTTAGATACTTTTGAAATCCTAGTTACATTTTACACGTACTGCAACTCATCGAAATATTTCTTATTTTTTATTTTTATTTTTATGTTACATAAACAATATAGGATCGCCACGAAACATCCAACGAGAGAGAAAGAATCTTATTTATGCACACGCCCTCTTATTCATTCTATTTATACTTGTAGATAATTTTTATTGATGATAGTTACCAACAAAATCTATCAGTTTCATAAAGTTTAGTTTTTGTTAAGGAACGGTATTCTTTGAACAAGTACACGTTCTTTGGTGATGAATCAACAGCAGTATTTTGCAACAACAGCTAAAAGTGAATAATGTCGT